AGTATTGTATCTGTTACACAGTTTCCATTTACTTACTTGGCAGGCTTGACGTTTTATGTCTGTGGTTAGTTTTACCGGGTCTCCCTAAGGAGGAAGAAGAAAACAGTGTATGTTCATGAACTGTACATACAGTAAATATACAGTATATGTGTTTTTCTGTGCAGTATATGTATGATTATAAAGTGTTGCATTGTTCTTAAATATAAGGAAAATGGATTAATCGCAGACGTTCACCCCTCAATCTACAGTCCTATATTTATCTATTGATTAAAAAAATTTTAAATAAGAATTTGAGACAGTTCTGAAGAATGACATGAGCATTTGAGAAATTAAGTAATAAGTCACAGTCTTTTGTGTAACATGACTCTGGTAAGTACAAGAACATATAAGGTTAAAAAGCTTATATGGTATTGTATTACCATATGAGAAAAACATTCAGAAAAATTCCAGTCACCAAATTATTTTTTTAAATTACCTAGTGTTATCTGGAGTTTGTCTATATACTGACCTTCCAGAAGGCAGATGACATTCAAGATCATGGATGCATTAGGAGTGACTGCTTTGAATAGTGGGGTTGGCTGATGAATGAGGCATTAGGAGGTAGGATACAACAAGATGGTCATTACTTGAGAGGTCACAGTCAAGATAGAAGGAAGAGGGTTTAAGATCCTGCATGGGTCCCAGGAAAGATAATCTTTCTGGTCCTCCTGTCCTCACCTACTAATATAATACTCACTATATATAATAGTATGATAGTATTACAGAAGTTTGGTAAACAGTTTCGACCTTTGGTACAAAAACATACCCTCTACCCATTTTCTGTTGGACACAAAATTATCTTTTCCATGAGCAATTTAACTTAAACACGCTGCACACACTCTAAAAGCAGCTTCAACATGCTTGGAAATGACCATTTATTAGGCCTGGAGCACACTTTTTATAGTGCACACCCACCTAACAATGGTCACTTTACCTTGTGAGAGTACTACAATCCAGATGTTCCACAGTTATGGGCACAACTTGCCAACTTAAAGACCTAAAATATTTGCAGATTAAAATGCTGGCAGCCATTTTGTCAGAATCTGCATCCCAAATGGCCATTCAAATTTAGTGATGTGAATCAGTGTCTGAAAAGTTACAATTTAAAATAAGTGCACAAAATAGTACATAAGGGCTATGTACTGTAGGTTGATCTTCTAATGTGCATTACATGACATATCTAAAGTCAATTAAAACAGCTTTGATATGTTATGTCATACTTACTGCCAAGAGTGCAGGTACACAGCTGGGGGTAAGAGCAGGTTCTAACTAAAAAAAATAAAATAACTGGTTATAGCCTTTTAAATACATTTCTTGAATGCTAGCCAGCCCCTTAATTATTATTTAAGTATGGGCTGATGCCTATACAACAGACCCAAGACATATTATCTGTACAGCTTGTGGTAGACTAGGTATGGATTTCATAAGTGTGATACTAAATCTAAGGACAAGTCTAGAAGGAGGCTAAGAAGCTGTGAGCATGATGATCATAATTTATGCCTAGAGTTATTGTATTTGTTGTTACAATTTCTTTAACTAATGTAATATGCAGATCAAATGTTACACCTGCATCTACATATGAACAAAATAGAAAGTGCAGTGTAACAATACATTCTTACATTGTACTACTCAGGGGGAGATAAGCAGGGCATGGAAGATACACCCTAGAAACTTTGTTGAAGTTTTTTGGGTGTTTGATATATGCCTTAGGTCTCAGGTCCTTAACTAAAAGACAGCAAAGGACAGATGATAGGTGTTGAAAACCACATGCTCTGTGACTATCAATGATTGTCTCTATCTTGTCTGAGACATAAGCTGTACGCCAACTGATGAATTCAAGATTACACACTGATCTTCAATAGATATTTGTGGCTGGTTGCAAGCTGGTGCATGTACCCTGTCAGCAGATCCAAATGGACTGACCTGGAGGAGCACCTAGTACAGTGGTGGAAAACCTTGGCACTTCAGCTGTGCCAAAACTATAAATCCCAACATGCATCTGCCTCTGGGAGTTATGTCTGTGGCTGTCAGAGCCTTGCAATGCCTCCTGGGACTTGTAGTTCCCAAACAGCTAGAGTGCCAAGGTTCGCCGCCACTGACCTAGTACATGTGTTTTAAAACTGCACTTATAATAATTTCAGGCCACAAAATAGCCACTTCCAGTAAATGCTTTTGCATATTTTGTATTCAGGATTAATGAGCACGGTACGCTAACAGCAGAATTTGGGAATGTCTGAAACAAATCTAAGAAGTTGCATAAAACCGGTCATCTGAAAGATAGGTGAAACATGTTTTTGCTGTCCGCATAAAGTATTTGATGCGTTGGTTCAACTTTGAATTTACTACAAAATGGTACTTCATTGGCTCTTGGCTCCACTGTGCAAGTGAGTGTTCATAGCGAGAGTACAAACACCTGAGCTGATGTGTTTCTATATTGTGCAGTTTTTACATCATTGCTATCACATTTAAAGGCTTATACTATGATACATCATGATACATTTATTTTATTTTTTTATTATTTAGTATTTATTTAAGCAGTATAGCTTAAATAGTGATGTGCAGCCTAATTTTTAACTGGAAAAATACTTATAATTATTATTGGCCATCATACTTGTCATATTTTAAATACTGTATGTGCAATACTAAATTAAGCCTTCAGGAATATTTTATCATACCATATTGCAGAGAGTATTCAAAAGTAATGGAGAAAGACCAGCATTATCCTGAAATATATACAACAATAAAAATACATTTTATGTTTTGTTGCATTGTAAGTAAGAATTTAACCAGTGCATTACATAAACTTTACAGCTTAGATCTTTGACCAGTGAATACCTTTCAACATTAAAAACTGAGAAATGAGACCTAGTTAGCAGCGGTCCATCCTAAACTCAGCATATATTAGAGTCTGATTTTTTGCAGTAAACTTTTTCTCTGTATACTATTACTGTGCATTATGTAAATTTAGAACTGTTCCAGGCATGTTGGTTTTGTGTAGCAAATATGCAAGCATATGTCCTTATTTAGTAGAGATTTTGTTTGTAATTGCTGATTCATAAAGTGCACCTGTGCCTACACTTTGCACATTAAAGTATTTACATATTCTGAACAAGCAGTAAATGCACTTTAATCACGTCCATATGACATACCTGTATCATCTTTTTTTCAGCAGGCGTTTCTTGTTAATAACAAGTGATCTAGACAGCTGTACAGTGCTACCCCCGCCACACCCCCTGATGTGGTTTTTGGGGTCCCCTGCTCCTCAAGGGGGCCAGGAACTATGGCAAACAGTGTCAGGATGGAAAGTGGGAAGAGACCAAGGAACATCCATTCCCTGATCTGCTTCTGCATCAGAGATGTCATAAGTCAGCTAAATTGCCAGTTACACAGGCAATCAAGCACAATCTTGTGCTTGATTGTCTGTATTAGAGGGCAGGGGAGACATCTGGGATCTAATAGACCTCCTCATCAACATGGGGGCAAGGTGCTTTGCCAGGGGTCCCCCCTGGCAAGGCACCTTCACCATGTTGAGGGCATGTAGCCTGGTATGGTGCAAAAGGGGGTGGTCACATGATTACGCCCTCCTTCCTGCCCTGCTGCTGCTTGGGGTCAAGGGTCTGGTAAGGGAGTTTGGGTAGAACCCTACCATTTTTTTGTTGGGGCCCCTCCTAAGAATTGGGGAGGGATCTCCATGCTGTTTTTTTATGTTACCATTTAACAACATCAGTTCATTCCGAATGACATTCGGAAAAAAGATTGGATGCATAGCAAAAAAATTGTATCCAAAATTCGGATACAATTGGGTTCCTTATTTCTTTTATTTGGACATTTGGATGCATCCAAATGTCTGAATATGCTGATATTCGTCTGAATTTCAATTCGCAACAAAACTAATCTTTAGTTACATGTCTAGTTTCTATTAAATATATACCACTATTCCTTGATTTTGCTATATTCCTATTCTTTTTTATTAAACAATTGTTGTTTTCCCATGCTAGCCCCACTTAATTCAATAAAATATTTCCTTTAAAGTCAACTGAATTTAAATGTGTGCCCTGAGATGTATTTTGACCTACAGGGCATACATTAATACAAATAATCAAACACATAAAATACAAACAAATCTGTAATTTGACAATAAAAATACTACTACAATATTGTATAAACTAAATTTAAACATTTCCCACAAAATTCTTGTGACAATACAATAGTCTAAAAAAAGCACACAGAAAAACCCAATGTGTAACCATTTGTTTGTCAATTTTTTAACTGAAAAGGGGTAGACACATACTTTAGGGTACATTCATGTGGTCTGTCCATACTATAATTTGTACCATCAGAAATGGAATATTAATCTGCATGCAAAGAGCACGATCAACTCCGACTGAGAAAACCATAAATATATGGCAAAAAACATGGAAGAAAAATAACAAGAAAAATAAAAGGAAAACTCACCAGCACTGGTCTAAGAAACTCAATTATTTTTGTAACAACTTCGAAGGTAGGTGTACCAGGTTGTTTCTAAATAAGGATTAAGGTAAGAAAAGTGAATACAACAACAAGTAATTTACTACTACTACTAATAATAATAATATTAATAATTACATAGTTACATAGTTATCTGAGCAACTTATTGCTACATTCATTTTGAGTATAATTCTCATCCTAATTGTCTAACACCTACCGTATACAGCTTAGCACCCACTGATCACCAATGATCAGTGAACATTTTTCTGGTTGTCTGGTTTAGGAGATCTGCAATTTTGCTTAAATCAGCACACCCAAGACTCTAAGCATATTTGCTGGAATCACCATGACCCTGTTTGCCTTTTTTACTCTTGGAAAAATTAAATAACACAACAGAGCGCAGTTTCTAAAAACATTTTAGAATTATTACATAGTTTATCACTATTTTAAAGAGACATTGGGGTTGGTTTACTAAAGACAAACAGGTTGTTCACTTTGCAAGTGAATTTTCATTTTGCAAGGGACATCTGCTTCAACAGCTTCTTCTCTGGTTATATCAGCCAGAGAAATGACAGCTAATGGTGGAAGTGATGTAATACACATCACTTCCACCTTTAGAGAGAGAGGAGGAGAGATCAGCAGTGGGAGAATGCTGTATTGCTAATTCATACTTGAGATGCTAAATAATATGAGGCATGAACTAAACATACATTTTGTGTAGATATAGGCGTGCGTAGGTGGTAGGGCCTTTATTTTGTTACATTAAAAATTCATATGTAGGAGGTATGTAGTTACTGTATTAGGTATAATTAGCATGACTCCTTAGATCATCTTGTTCCTTATGATGACACCACAGAAACAAATCAACAGGCAGCTGTTCAGTTTCTAAAGTCAGCTGCTAAGGTTGATCTAGGTCTAGGACTTCCTAAGGAATGAATCTTTGGCTTACTAGTATGGAAATTGTTCAGCACAGTACTAATAACAAAATCAAAGGTTTGTTCCCTGCAGTATAAATGATTGGGCTCATCCAGAACATCCTGAAAAAATCAGGACAGGAATAAATGTGTGAGATACCCAGCTGTATAAATATCAGTTATATCTGTACAATGACAATTATTGCAATGGCTAACACTGATAATCCCATTTGCATGCCTGGTGACAAGTTCACCTGCTGACTCCTTATATCTCCCACAAACTCCACTGTGGGGACATAACACCACAATTCCCAGCATGTCTACCGGTCAAGGCTGTAACAAAGATAAATAATAGTCTCCCCTGCTAAATATATGGCAGGCCTAATCAAGTTTCCTGCATATGAATGCAAAATAAATAAAGATAATTTAATCACCTCCCGTCCATGGCCATTCGTGATGGCTGGATAGGAGCCTTACAAGAGCGGGAGGGTGTCTTAAGATGTCCTGCCCCTCCCCCCGCTCGTGCACGTCGCCCAGCACGCACACAAGTGGGAAAGCTGTTAGCCATGTTAACAGCCAGCGATGGCTGTTTACATTCAAGTAATCAGGTGTCTCTAGAGATGCCCGATTGCTTGTACTAGCTGTGGGTGTGCGCCCCCTGTACCTCTTTCGCCTCCGCTGCAGGTCCCGAGATCTGCTGGGACCGGCGCGGCTGGGACTGGCACGGTGACGCTGTCAGTGGAGATCAAAGGGATATCAGTACAAAATATCCCTTTTGATCTCCTCTCTGGTCCACGAATGCAGGAAGTGATGTATTTTGCATCACTTCCTGCATTCAGTGTCATTCTCCGGTTACAGATGCCGGTGAGAAGCCGATGAAGCAGATCTCTGCTTCATCAGCTTCTCTGGGGGTCCCTAGGTGACACTAGGGGTCTTGGAGATCCCTGATGTCTCCATAAAGAGGACCTGTTATGTGAATTGGCTATCACATAGGGGATTTCTTAGTCCCCTATGTAATATCAATTAAGTTAAGTGTAAAAAAACAAGTTTAAAAAAAATTAAAGCATCAAAAAATAAAGAAGCTAAAAAAAATAGTCACAAATAAAAAAAGTGTAAAATAACACAATTTTTGGAAAGCTCCCCCCCCATACATGCGCAAACATGCGTCTGGTGCGCCAACGTGCGAAAACGACGATTCCGCCTATTGTGCTGCACGTTACATATCGCCACAAACGTCAGAATGAGAGCAATAATTTTAGAGCCATTAATCACTGATAACACTAGACTGATAAACGGTAAAAACTTTTAAAGCATCACCCATGGCCAATTTTGGGTGTGGTCGTTTTCTGCAATTTTGCGGGTGCAATTTTGAAGCTTGACATGTTTGGCGTCTATTTACCCAACGTGACCCTGTCTTTTATGTTTTACCAAAAAAATTGGGTAATAATAAATGTTTCATAACATTTGATAGGGAAACAGGTTTTTTTTCAAAATGCAGGGTTATATAGTAAAAAATAAAAACCCCAGTGATGATTAAATGCCACCAAAAGAAAGCTCTATCTGTCCCCCAAAAATGATATAAAATTAATTTCAGTAAAGCGTTGCATGACTGAATAAACGTTAGTCAAAGTACTGCAGAGCGGAATAATGAAAAATGGCCTGGCCAGGAAGGGGGGGGGGGGGTAAACACCTGGTCTTCAAGTGGTTAAGTATGGATTAGTCCAATATGCATAGGATCTAGAAACTGATTTATAATGAACAGATTTAGTAATCAATCAATTCATAATAAAACAAAACAAAAAGGCCTACGTGTAGAGTTACATGATACTATTATTAGAATATTGCTTTTGTTTTCCTAAGGAATGTTTCCACACTTACTATGACAGTGATCTAAGGGCTAAATGATAAGCAGCAAGTTAAAATGTTATAAGCAATAATAGCGACACACACCTAGACACAAATTCAAGAGTACATTTCTAAATGCAGATAATATATATTTACCAGCGTATCAGCTGTTTGCATGACATCATCAACAGCACACAAAGTACTAGTCTGTGAAGACATAAAATGCAGATCAAGTTTAGCATATTCACAGATAAAGAAAAATACATTGATTATTTTCTTATTTTATGAGGATTTTTCTGGACATAATAAATATATATATTTTGTGTAAACACACACAGTAAAATGAAAAAAAAAAACTTACCAGAGTGTTGTTTATTATTTTTAAAAAGTCTTCCAAATTGTCATCATTAAGTGTTGTTCCCTGTCATAAATCATTTAAATAACATGTATTAATATGATATATTTTTAAACTAAGTCAGATGTAAACATTTTGCTCAAATCAACATGTAGCCAAAGTATCATACTGTGACTACAGGGGAATTTTACATATACAGTATAAAACAATATTAGATTTGAGTGAACATATTTTACTTTCAAAACAAAGTAGTTAATACCTAAAATGCAACTGAAGCTAAAACCATGGATGGAGTGGAGAGGAATTAGAACACATATCAGCATTTTATTGCTATCTGTGCCCCCATCAGGAAGATTCACTCTCTATTTGTCTTGGTGAATGTTATCACTGAAAGTGAATGTGAAAGAAAATCCCAAATTGTAGGTTGTCACCAGAACAGGAATAATGACATATCTTCCAGTGGGTACATTATTTCCGGTGACAGTGCTGACCACCAAGAATTCCCCTCTCTCTTTCTCCTGTGGCAATTGGACAGAAAGTGAAGGGAAATCTCCCCAGTGGGACACAGATGGCAAACAATCTTCAGTTCTACTTTAAGGCTTTAAACAAATGTAAGTGAACTCACCTTGTAAAATATGCTTGAATATATATATACTTTAATAAATCTAATAGTCATTTTATTAAAACAGTATATTATTATGACAGGACCTTGGCACCTTGCAGTCATTGAGTTGATCATGAACTCCTCTGTATACCAAAATATTCTAGAGTCAAATGTGAGGCTATCTGTCCAACAGCTAAAGCTTGGCTGAAAGTGAGTCATGCAACAGGACAACAATCTCAAGTACACCAGCAAATCTACAACAGGATGGCTGAAAAAGAAAAGAATCAAGGTGTTGCAATGGCCCAGTCAAAGTCCAAACCTCAACCTGATTGAAATGTGGCAGAAACTAAAGAAAGCTGTGCATTAACAAAAGCCGCAAACCTCAAAGAAATGAAGCAACATTGTAAAGAAGAGTGGGCCACAATTCCTCCACAAAGATGTGAAAGACTAATAAAGTCATACAGAAGATGATTACTTCAAGTTATTGCTGCTGAAGGTGGTTCTACAAGTTATAGAATTATAAGGTGTACGTAATGACACAGTGTAATATGTCATGTGTTCATCTGAGGTTGTAATTAAATTAGACAAGGACATGACCGGGAGAGTGATTCAACAATTCATTGGGTGGTAAAAGAAACAGTCAAAACACCATGGGATGAAGTATAGAATTGGGAGAGAGAAGGTCTGTATGTCCAGAGATCTGATACCGGCCGGCCAGGATAAGAGGTCGGCAGCGCCCGAATGTGTACTCTTGGGGGTGGGTAAGCACCGGATGGTTGCCCATATGATACACGGAGAGAACCGAGGTCTAAATGACCTCAAACCAGACATGTCACACACAGGGCAATTGATGGTGTACAGAAGACATAAGTCAACAGAATCTATATTGCTTCGAGACAATTATACAATACATAGGTACATATTTTGTTATTAATTCTATGATTACTGGTTATCCTGATACAATTCATATGTAGAAAAAATAGAAGAAGTAGAGCATATATTTGTTGAGTGCAGGGTATTAATCCTGTCTTTCAAATCTCCCCATACATTTCTTCTTGAACTCGCTATGATAGTGTACAGAACTATAATAAAAATCTTTATTTGTGAAATAGCTGGCTACCAAGGTAAGCATAGTTAGGCGGTCAAGTGATCCAGGCCAATAGGATGTGCGTGGGAAATTAGAATCTGAAGCATTTTCCGCACCTAAACATATCCATCTCTGGTTATCATAAACCTAGTAAACATTTCCCACACTTGTGGCCAATGTGGAACAGACAGCCCCACTGTCAGTCACACATGAG